AAAAGGGAATCCCCATTTATATGGTACATTGCCGTCTCGCAATGTCGCTGTAACCGGGCGGATGGCCCTCCTGGCTTCCAACATTATGGGGGATAAATCATTATAAAGCGAGACTTGAGCTTCTCTAAAGGGCCAGGTCTGCCTTTCCCGGGCTTTGGCCATGATGGTGTTCTTCACCGGGAAGGAGTGTAGGCAGCATATTAGGTCTCGCGGCCCGTCTTCAGCAGCTCGAGGTCTCAAGGCCCTATGCGCCCTCTCGAATTCTATCTCTGGTGGTGGGGATGGTTGCAGTAGAGAGCGGAATAGTTCCGTTAGTATTTCCTCAGCGTTTTCTGTCCCTTCGGTTTCTGGCACACCACGAACCCGAATGTTGCACCTCCTGCCTCTGTTGTCTACATCTACAAGATGTCGGCGCATGGAGCGCAACATCTCACCCTGGCATGCTACAGCTGTATCAGTGGCTGCCACGCAGACCGCGAGGGCCGCATTTGCCTCCTCTGTCGCGGTAATGCGGCCTGCTTGCTCGGTGAGCTCCGTGCGGATCTGTCCGCAGTGTATCCTGGATGGTGGTTGTTATAGCCTGTAGGTCGGCTTTTGTCACCATTGAGGCTGTCAGGTCCCGCAGGGTGCCCTCAATCTGGTCTAGGGACGGCATCCCCTGTCCCGGAGTGGATGACGCCGCCATCTTGGGGCTTACAGAGTCTCCACTCGCCCCGGGCTGCGGCTGCAGGTATCCGTCCAGCGGGCCCTGGGAGGTGTTCCTTGGGGTCTGGGTCTGCTCTGGGCGTTTAGTGCGCCCCATTAAGCTTAAGTTGCTCGCTGTTATCGCTGTGTTGGGGTCCGGCGGAACGGAGCTCACTCTTTACGCGGCCATCTTGGTCAGAGCCGGAACCACGCCCGACTGAAGGGGTTTTCACCCCTTCAGCAACCGGGGATGGGAGGTGGGAGGGAGAGGGGACCTGCAGTGCAATACATATGCATATTAATGCATATATTTATAGCTCTGTATGTCTAGGGGAATATTCACTAAGCATTGCATAGGTAAAATAATTAATTCTCCATCAGAGTTGAAGCAGTATTGAGCCAGGTTATTTAGGATGGAGAAGAGCACCCCATAGCCTACCAAAGCCAAAATTGCTAGACTGAGAAGTAGGGTATGCAGCTATTGAAAAGGAGTGCCTGGCTTTGGTGTGGGCTCTTAAAAGATTCCAACCCTACCTCTACAGAAGGGAATTCACAGTCCTCACCGACCACAACCCCCTAGTTTGGCTGAATCGAGTAGCAGGGGATAACGGACGCCTAATACAGCCCTTCAACCTTTTAATTTTACCATTCAATATAGGCCTGGCAAAGACAACCGCAATGCTGATGGATTGTCCCAGCAAGGAGATGTATAAGTCCCCTGCTACAGTCGTCCACGGGGTTACCCATTAGAGCAACCCCTGGCCGCCCTCTCCAAAAATGGGGGAGGTATGTCACGGGAGATGGGACTCCTCCTACATGTTTCCTTAATTATACTTTGTCTCGTAATCACTGACCACCCCTGGCTGTTAACCATAAAACAAGCATTCCCTGGGTGGCCACCATTCGTATATCCGAACACACGTGTGCAAACAAATGGTGTGTAACTGTTTTCGGCTAGGCAACTTTGCAAACTCTGCTGAAACTTGTACCACTGCCCATTCAACTCCCCGACCAGCTAGGAGAACACCATTCGGGAGTAAGAAACTACTGAACGAGGGAAGCATTCATTTCCTAATAGCCAAGGGATGTGTTCGTCAGTTTGTTCCTATGGAACTCCCGAAAGTGACCGGCCAGCCTGACCAATTCTCTGGAGCTGTTTTGGGCTACCACCTCATGGCCAGTCAGGCAAAACTTGCACAAACATAACTTTCATTTTACCAAATCAATCTGAGCGCTTTTTGGATGTGTTGTGCGCTCAGATCAGGGCTATTCTGGAATATAATTTTTGTGGGGTTCCGATGCTGTTGTCATGTATTTTTTTGATATGTAAAAATTGTATGCATGTTTTCCTATTTAAGAGATAATTGGATTAGCTTAATTGGAGCTCAATTATATCTCAAACACAATGGCTTGTGGGAAGAAAACCCCTGTGATTTTGTATTGGAAACCCCATGCTTAGGGCACTGCATAAGAGTGTGGCCTAATAAAGTTCAGATTGCTGCTTTTACCCAATACGACTGGTTGCGTCCATTATATTGGGAAAACTCTACACAAAGGGAATACTTTCACTATATTCAGCACATTGGAATTAGGACTAGTGAAGGATTGAAGGAAGAACAGCAATAGACTCACGGACCTGTGACAGTGTTACTATAATGTAGAGGGTACATGGGCTACACATTTTATAGACGTCTTGTGAATTCATCCATTTTTTTTTTACTATTGTCCCCAGCTCTTTCACTGTGTGTAACCAAACCATTTGTGCTGTTTGCCTTGATAAGAGTAACAACTAGATAACATTGCTAATTCTTGTTTTTTGTTTTTTTTACTTTCTACAGGGTCTTGTTGTGGAATATCTCGATGAACTCTTGGAAGGGAATGCATTCTGACCAAAAATATAATAACAGAATTTTTGTTTCATTGTTTTCATTTGCTCATTTGTCTTCCATTCAAAAGGAAAACACAAGAATTATTACATCTGAACAACCCATTTTTGCCGTTACACTCAAACGCGCATCCAATGCACTGATTTCATATATTGGTATGAGAGGAAACAGGTTAATATATTGATATATGGGTTTGGATTTCCCCTGCTTTTTAATCAGTATTTATTATCCATGTATGTGTGTGCAAAACATGGAAATAAATTACTGTGAAACACAATTGTCTCATCTGAGGAAATGTTTTTACTAGTTTCTTGAATATGTGTGTTACTGAATATATTTTCTGTACCAACACAAGTTTTTTCCCTACTTTTGTAATTCTGTATTTCCTGACGGATTAAGATCCAGACACAAGTTTAACATCTTCACCTCAAGGATATGTTTATGATTTAGATTACCTGCCAGAGACAGAGAACTATAGTTGACCATCTTCAGTACATTTTATCTGTCTGCATCTACTGTACTGTATCAAATCATACACACAACTTTATTCAACAGGGATATTAGCATTCCAAAAGAAGACGTGAAGGCTTTCCTTGATATGTGTCCATTTGCTTGCAATGACTGTTTTCCAAAATCTATTCTTTGTGTCTAAATGTAAAGATCTGGGGAGAGACAGTGGAATGATATACTATTTTTGAACACCCCCATCAACTTACAGCCTATACCCTGGTACCCTGGAAGAGATCTGTTTCATGGTCCACTTGAATTGTTATTTTAGCCCATTTATACCCAGCCAACTTTCCGAAATGCTTTAGAAGGTGCAGAGCGAATGACACATACCTACACTCCTGTTTCTCGTGTGTTGTGATCAGACCTATATAGGAGACGACCTTTGCAATTTTAAGCAGCTGACTCTGAACCCTTGGACATCTCTGGTCAGTCAAGGCAACCAACCATTAAAATTGAATGGACATGACTATATTGTTTTACTTCAATAAAAAGACAGCTCCTCAGGCAGATAAATCTACATCTTGTTTTTCTAGTAAATGCTTTTCTCTGCTGAAGTGCAATCTCATTTCATCTGTAGATGACTTGTGATTTGTACACGCTTGTTAATGATCAGGTCACTGGAGAGTTGTTTGTACTTTCCCTGTACTAATTTATGTTATGAATGTCTACATCTTCAATGAGATGTTTTTTTAGAACTTAAGAAGTTCTTACATTCCCCTTATTAAAGGGACACTATAGTCACCAGAACAACTACAGCTTATTGTAGTTGTTCTGGTGTCTATAGCCTGTCCCTGCAGGTTTTTTTTTCTGTAAAAACTTCAAAGAAAAGGCAGTGTTTAAATTAAATCTTAGGGACACCTTCAGTGGCCACTCCTCAGATGACCACTAAAGGCTCTGTATGGTGACACTGAACCTTCCCCATAGAGATGCATTGATCTATCTGGCTAGTGTTTGGCCCTGTCCACCCTCATTAAAGATCCCTATGGGAAAGCATTGGATTGGCTGAGATCATAAATTCTGATGATGTCAGCCAAAGAGGCTGATCTGGAGTAGGGTTAGTGCCTGCAGACTCTTGTGGCACTGGAAATAATGTGAATTTTAACCCTTTGTAATCAGGAAGTGGGGTGCTACCTAAATGGTGGTTTTAACACTAGAGGGTCATGAATACATGTTTGTGTTCCTGACCCTATATCGTTCCTTTAATATTAACCAGAAACTCTTTCCACTTCCATAATATTCTTTAAAACCACTAACCATATATAAAGTTGGATCTTACCATTTATCTGTATACAGGTAAAATTGTATTTTCATCTCACAAATAAATACCTCTTTTATACATTGCAGTACCGTATAGGCCTTGGCAGCTGCCGACTAACATTTTTGCTAGTCTGTTGACTGTAATTATACCGAGTCCTTCTCATTTACCATTATCCCTATTTCAACACCATTTAGAGTATATACTTCATGTTTATTTCTCTTATATTGAATCTCATCTGCCATTGTCTGTGCAGTCTACTAATTATTCACAAAAACTAAATGTAACATTCTGCTGAGTGGCCAGTTTTCCTAATTTTGACAGTGACAATGGGGAGGGGAGGCAGTGACAGTGTGTGAGGGTGAGAGTAGGATGGGGGCAGTGACAGTGTAGTGACAATCTGGGATGGTGACAGTGTGCAGGGGGCCAGTGACAATGGAGAGGGGGGGCAGTGAAAGTGGAAGGGGAGCAGTGACAGTGTGGGAAGGAGACAATAACATTATGGGAAGGTGACAGTGGGAAGGAGGCAGTGACAGTGGGGAGGAGGGCAGTGACACTGTGGGAGGGTGACAGTGGGGAGGAGGCCAGTGACAGTGTGGGAGGGAGACAGTGGCGAGGGGAGTAGTGAGAGTGTGGGTAGGTGATAGTGGTGAGGGGGGCAGTGCAGTGTGAGAGGTTGACAGTGGGGAGGAGGACAGTAAAAGTGTGCCAGTGGCAGTGTGTCAGAGAGTCAGTGACAGTTGGTGAGAGGCCAATGACAGTGTGGGGGCCAGTCACAGTGGGGAGGGGCAGTGACAGTGCAGAGGGTGCCCCAAAAGGAGAGTTCTTACCTTTCTGGGATCCCACCATGTGTGCACAGCTCCTGTTGTCATGTTGCTCTGTGGTGCCCTCCCACACGATGCACTCAGTCACAGCCTCTCTCTGCTCTGCACTCGAATAATGAAGCAAGACGGGCAGCGCTTGGTCGTCTATCAAACTGCCCTGGCGAAACTGGCCGCGAGAGCTGTGAGGTTCAGCTTTTTATTGAATTGTGGTAGAATATAAACAGTGATTGAAAGAGTGACACTCTGATTGCTTTGACATCGCTTAAAACTCAACAGCGACCTTAACTGTGTCAATAATTAACGATAGATTGTAATTCACCCTGTATGACAGATTTTTAATTTGTATTTATTTGTTCATTCTTTGAAGAAATGTGTATCATGGGGTTGGCTAAATGATGATAGGCGAGATTATTTAGTAAATATTGTGATGCTATACTTTCAACACTGCTTATACTGACAGGATGGAGAAGCAGAGTAAGGCTTCTCCATTCTGTTACTCCATTCCAGAGAAAGTATGAAAGAAACAAATCCAGGGCACACCAGTCTCAGGGGCAATGCACCCTGGTTCGGCCCTGCGGATGTCAGTTCTGCCATTACAGACATTTTTTCGGGTAACACAGAGGGAGCTAAATTGTACCCTGGGGGTACGTGTACCATAGGTTGGGAACAACTGCTTTAGGGAGAAAGCTTAGCCAAGCAGGGCAAATTACAGAAGAGAGCAAGGAGGAGTAACACCCATGAAGATGAGGAAATGGCAGCCCTGGAGCAGAAGTGAGGTTAGTATTATCAAGCATTTACACTGAATACATCATGTATCCTTGTGATATGATAGATGTGGGGGCCATTTAGGAAAACTTAGTATATATAGTTTCCCAAAATTGTACTTTATTATATTGAAAAGCACACACAAAAAATGATTACAATATTACTTGTTAGATGTTCTTAAAAACAAGAACATTTTACAAATGAATGCCTCGATTTAATTATTTTATTTAAAAGCAGTTGAAACCATCTGAAATTGAAGAAGATAAATCCAATAAACTGGTCGGATGTTTGAACTAAAACTTCAGAAAAATGTACTTTGTAGCCACATTTATCTGCCTTTTTAAATGACTATCCCTGTTGATCATTAAAAAAGAAATTGCTAGACATTAATATGTCTGTGATGTAACCCTTGTTAATACTATGCACATCAAATAAAAGAATTACAAAAAAAAAAAATAAACTCATTAGGTCACCTTTGCACCATCTTGGTTGAGTACGTGTGCAATTTTGGATTGAAGTGTTTAGTTCTAAGTTTATAAGCTAGAAGTTTGCCTTGTTGCCTTGCATGTAATAGGTCTGCAGTAGTTTATGTTGATAACATTAAAGCTAGTGTAGTTGAAGTTTTTGTAGTGGCCTTGTAGAGACTATTTCATGAATTTGTTTTGGTTGGGGGTTCGCTTTATTCATGTCTTTTAGTTCAGTGATGCATTGATGCATAGCCTGCAGAAACTGGGTAGGTTTTTTTTAATTCTAGATAGAGGGGTTGGTGTTTTTTATTATTCTTGATAGAGCACTGCTGAATGATTTCCCTTCTTAGCACAGCTTCGTGAGCCAACCAAATTGTATCGTAATTTAAAAATTGAAAAAGTATTAGACTGGAAATATTATGTCAGGGTGGAGTGCAGTGAATTTAGATATGCTGAACTTCAAGGCTAGTGTCATTTTCTAAAGGTCACCAGAACAATATAGTTGCCAGAACAACTACAGCTTAATGCACCAGTACTGGTGTGTATAGTATGTTCCTGAATAGTAATGTCCCGAACGGTTCGCCGCGGACTCATCATTGAGTAAACTTTGACCCTGTACCTCACAGTCAGCAGACACATTCCAGCCAATCAGCAGCAGACCCTCCCTCCCAGACCCTCCCACCTCCTGGACAGCTCACTAAGAATGCAGCTTCACAATGAATGTAAAATGGATTCTGTCCAGGAGGTGGAAGGGTCTGGGAGGGAGGGTCTGCTGCTGATTGGCTGGAATGTATCTGCTGACTGTGAGGTAGGGTCAAAGTTTACTCAATGATGAGTCCGCGGCGAACCGTTCCTCGGCGAACCGTTCGGGACATCACTATTCCTGAAGGCTTTTTAATCTAAACACTGCCTTTTCTAAAAAAAAGTGTATCACTGTCGTTCAGCGTTTCTACACTCTGCAAGGAGGCGCTGAATGTTTCTCATAGAGATGCATTGATTCAATGCATTTCTACAGTATATGGACTATGGATCAGGGGTAGCTATGAACATAAATGTGTGTATGGGGAGGCAGTGTGTGTGTATGGGGGGGCAGTATGTGTATGGGGGGGCATTATGTGTGTGTGTGTATGAAGCAGTGTGTATGTGTGTATGGAGGGCAGAATGTGTGTGTGTGTATGGGGGGCAGAATGTGTGTGTGTGTGTATAAAGGTGGCTGTGTGTGTGTGTGTGTATGGGGGCAGTGTGTGTGTGTATGGGGGGGCAGTATGTGTGTGTGTGTGCTGGGGAGGCAGTATGTGTGTATGTGCATGGGGGGGGCAGTGTGCGTGTATGTGTATGGGGGGCAGTGTGTGTGTGTGTGTATGGGGGGGGCAGTATGTGTGTGTATGGGGGGCAGTGTGTGTGTGTGTATGAGAGGGTGGCAGTGTGTGTGTGTGGGGGGGCAGTGGGTGTGTATGGGGGGCAGAATGTGTGTGTGTGTGTGTATGGGGGGGCAGTATGTGTATGTGTGTAATGGGGCAGAAATGTGTGCGGTGTATGGGGGGGCAGTATGTGTGTGTGTGTGTATGGGGGGCAGTATGTGTGTGTGTATGGGGGGCAGTATGTGTGTGTGTGTATGGGGGGGCAGTATGTGTGTGTGTGTATGGGGGCAGTGTGTATGTATGAGGGGGCAGTGTGTGTGTGTGTATGGGGGGGCAGTGTGTGTGTGTGTGTATGTAAGTGGTATGTGTGTGTGTATGGGGAAGCAGTATGTGTGTGTGTCTATGGGGGGGGGCAGTATGTGTGTGTGTGTGTATGGGGGGCAGTGTGAGTGTATGGGGCAGTGTGTGTGTGTATGGGGGGCAGTATGTGTGTGTGTGTGTGTGTATGGGGGGCAGTATGTGTGTGTATGGGGAAGCAGTATGTGTGTGTGTATGGGGGCAGTATGTGTGTGTGTGTGTATGGGGGGCAGTATGTGTGTGTGTGTGCGTGTGTATGGGGGGCAGTGTGTGTGTGTGTGTATGGGGGACAGTATGTGTGTGTGTATGGGGGGCAGTATGTGTGTGTATGGGGGGGCAGTATGTGTATGGGGGGGCAGTATGTGTGTGTGTGTATGGGGGGGCAGTGTGTGTGTGTATGGGGGTGTATGTGTATAGAGTGTGTGATAAGGGTAGGGGGGGCTTTTTTTGTTTTTATAATATATGTATTTATTTTTTATTTAATTAAAATAAATATTCTATGTCCCCCCTCCCTTCTTACCTTTATTGAGGAGGAGGGGGGACATATTTCGATCCCTGGTGGTCCGGTGGGGATTCCCTGGTGGTCCCAGTGGGGACAGTGAACTCTAGCCCGCGCTCCCGGGCTAGAGTTCACTCTTGCGAGATTTGGAGTGTTGCCGTGGTAACCGCGACAACGCTCCAAATCTCGCTAGAGGAGGACCCGGAGGAGCTGCAGGCTGAGCTCCCGGGTCCTCTCTCCTCCCTCTCCCTCCCCTGCCGGCTGTCAGCAATGTACCTGCGGACCGGGGAGGGAGAGCTCTGATCTCTGATCTCCCTCCCTGGTCCGCAGGCACATTGCAGGGCTAGCACCTGCATGTGCTGGCAGGGGAGAGGGAGACCGGCAGATTTCTCGGGGGGGGGGCAATTGCCCCGTTGCCCCCCCCTCCTGGATCCGCCACTGCTCCAGAGCCTGGCATTTTTTAGGTCTCATAATCTCCAGATCAACTTAGAACCCCACTACTGACTCACAGAGCCTGCTTACTGGAGTTTGCTTGAAAGTAGGCTATTTAACCCCTTAAGGACCAAACTTCTGGAATAAAAGGGAATCATGACATGTCACACATGTCATGTGTCCTTAAGGGGTTAAAGTAGTCTCTTTTAAGTAGGAGTTAAAACAACAGGAGTTTGTTGGTGGACTGTGGTTGGTATTGGTTAATACCAAGTGGGAAAAAAAAGCAGGTATGATTTTTTGTATTTTTTTTTTTACTTTTACACTTTTTAACCCCTTAAGGACCAAACTTCTGGAATAAAAGGGAATCGTGACATGTCACACATGTCATGTGTCCTTAAGGGGTTAATGTATTTTTCTCCTTGCTATTTTGATTTATTTTAATTTTTCGTAACTTTTTTCCCATATATATATATATGTATATATATATATATATATATATATATATATATATATATATATATACACAAAAAGATATGGAAGGGCTGCGCCAAATAAGGGTAGATAGTCCAGTAAAGTATTGCTAGGGTGCCAATAGATGGTCTAGGATACTTGATAGAGTTCCTCTGTGGATGCGTCTGGTGTAGACCGTTCCGTATATGTAAATACAAGAGAGGTAGAGGCGACTAATGGTATAGTATGAAAGTTCAGGGTGTGATAGGTAACAAAAGTAAAGAACTCACTTTCAAGAGAGCTATGGCCAGCTCTGGTGTGGATTGCGTACAGCGGTATAATCCCCGCTTATGGGATATGTAGGGAGGGGTCTCCGTCAACACCGTCTGGTAGTCCAGAACTCGAAAAAGAAAGACAGAAAGCAACAATAGTGCTCTCAATTTTGATGTGGTTCAATGTGCAGATAAGAAGAGGTAAAAAACTCACATTTGAGGGAGCTATGGCCAGCTCTGGTGTGTATTTCGTACAGCGGTATAATCCCCGCTTATAGGATATGTAGCGGCGATACGTCCGTCAGCACCGTCTGGTGATCCAAGGCTCCAATATAGAAGAATAAAAAGCAGCAACAGTGCTCTCAATTGTGATAGGTTAAGAGAGTAGTAGAGAAAATAAAATAATACTCACAAAGATAGAGCAGAGGTACTGCTCTATGGATAGGCGCTGGTGGTATGATCCCCACCTAGGATTTCTTGGAGTACTGGAACTTTAAAATTGCCAGTGGAAGTAAAAGTAACCAGGAAAGGTTAAAATGCCAGGAATAGGTAAAAAAAGTTGTTTAAAGTGCATAAAGAGTGCAATAAAAGGAGGATTGGTACAATAAAGTAGCCAAAAAACTTTTATTGATCTAAAATACACAGTAAAATACAGAATTAATAACCATAAACGCGTTTCACCATAAGTGGCTTCTTCAGAATGGGATAAAAGTAGTAACCTGGCAGGGGTTGTTTAAATAGGGCTATGTTAATTTGAAAATTGCGCAAAAAGTGTAATTGGCCAATCAGAGACAATTTTTAAAATCACTTTTCAAAATTAGGATTCAAGAGTATGGGAGTGATGTTATAAAGGTGATGAGTCCATTTAAATTATTTAAATGTGAAAACGAGAGTGAGAAAGTTGTTTTTAAAGAGAAAGAAAGGAAAAAAAAATAAGTTTGATTAAAGTTCATTAAAAAAAAAAAAAGTAGATGGTTTAAAGGTACAGAGATATATGTAAATGGAGTATGCATGAAAAGGGGGTAATATAATCCCAAACATAATGATTTAAATAGGGGTTATATTATACCCCAGAGTAATAATATATTACAGATGTTAAATGAAAATAATAGATAAAATAAAAATAACATTAAATAAAATTAAATAAAAGATAACACAGAATACAAGATACATAAATGGAAAGGCATAGATGAAAATTAAAACTTAAAAGATTATTATTATGAGGGTTGGTTAGGTCCAGACATAAAGAATAAAAGCATGTAGATAAGGGTTGTAAATAGGAATTTAAATAAAATTAAACAGGTCAAAATCAACATTTAAACCAGATGGGGTAAGAGTTTTTAGATTAAAAACCCATTCCATCTCAGCTTTACCTAATATGTTCTTATTGTTACCACCTCTCCATGGTATTATACATTTTTTTATGCCGATGCATTTAAGGTGTCTTATGTCGTTATTATGTGTACAAAAGTGTTTAGAGACTGAGTGATTCAGGTAGCCTTTTTTGATATTTCTACAGTGTTCACTCAGTCTCACTTTAAGACTTATTGTGGTCATCCCTACATACTGGAGACCACAAGGGCACTCCAACAAGTAGATG